GTACATTGTAGACCCTAGTTTGTGTTCCTCTGTGTGTCTCGGTGTGTCGTCAATGCTGTATTCGACAACCGTAAGCATAAGGAGAAAGTTGCCGCTGTACGCGCTCTTGTGTGTAGTATGTGTGCCGCGTTCAGTTGCTGTCTAGTATGAGATATCGGTACATGTAGCTGGGCTGGTGGTGCGTATTGCCTTGATGTGGATCACCTAACTCGTGGCCTTCTAAAGCCTGTCGAAACGCATGCCGTTTCAGATGTATGGTCTCGTGGTGTGTGTGTGTGTGTGTTGTGTGTGTGACTGTGTGTGTGACTGTGTGTGTGTGTGTGTGTGTGTGTGTGCGTGTGTGCATGTGTGCGTGTGTGTGTCAAAATGCATGCCGTTTCAGATTTATGGTCTCGTGGTGTGTGTCTGTGGTAGGAACCGGTGGATTCTGCTCGAAAAGGTGGCAGATTCTGCTCGAAAAGCAGTGAAATTGGCAGAACCATACAAACCTTATGGCGGGCAATTCCTCGAATTCTGCTCCATTTCTTTATCCACATACCAAACATGCATGAAACTTACCAGAAAAAGTACCGAATTCTGCCAATTTTCTGCCGGCAGAATCCGCCGGACCCTAGTCTGTGGGGGGGGGGGGGGGGGGGGGGGGTTGTGTGTGTGCGCGTGTGTGCGCACGCGCGCGTGTGTGTGTGTGTGTGTGTGTGTGTGTGTGTGTGAGAATCTGTCGCGCTCACAATATCTCGTTTTCTGCTTATGAAGCTACATGTATATGTATGTGTTATTTGTAGGAGATTACAATGTAGAGGTGATTGTCTGCTTTGCGTTCCTCTCTGCTTGGCCTGCATTATCAATTAATTATTTATCAGTACTGGTTTTTGCTCTTCACACGTACACGTACCCCCCCCCCCCCCCCCACCCCCGCACACAAACAAACACACACATACACACACACACACACACACACACACACACACACACACACACACACGCGCACGCATGCTTATGTATACGGTTTCAGTTTGAAAAATGCAAAGTGTCCTGTACATGTGTGCGTCTGATGCATTCACACGAACTTCAACGGTCTATGATGCACGCGTCACTTCTCCTTTGACTCTGAGTTTGAGGAAAGAAAACCAAAGCATATCAATACAATCACATACATGTATACAAACTTTTAAAAGTGTGTGAATGTACAACGTACGTTTGTCTTGTTTATGCTGTGTGTCACTTTGCTCTGGGCATGGAAATTCTGTCGTATTTGTGAATTGTCGTTATATACGCAGTGGTTATTAGAGAAGTTGACTGTGTGTGAATGTACAAAGTACGTTTGTCTTGTTTATGCTGTATGTCACTTGCTCGGCCACCCGTGTTGCGTTCTATCTGTTTCGGCTATTGCTACTGCACTGTTCTAGCCAGAAATTATTGTTGATAGGGAAACCGAGTGCGAACCTGGCTAGGATTTGTTGGTGAGGTACTCTCATATGTGCGTATCCGTGCTCGTTTGTATTCCTCCGACGGTGTGGCACGTGCGCGCACACACATGTGATGTATGCGAAGTGTATCCGGCATGTACGAACAATGTGTGTGCATCCGCGGCACGCATGTTTGACATGTTTGTGCTCCACGTGTGCATGTAGGATCTAAACGTGTGTAACGCAAGCGTGTGGGGCACGCCCATTACGTCTGCGGCACCGTGACATGGCCAGTATGTGATGTCCGACACGGGTGTGCAGGAGTGGCGCGTGGGCGTGTTCGCAGTGTGCACGTCTATACTCCAGCGTATTGTCCACTTTCCTGGTCCCAGGAGGGTTTTGGATCTGTGGAAAACACGTGAACTGAATACAGTGGAGTTAGTTTGAACTCTTGTGTGCTTTCTGTGCACAGGTTTATCTACGGAATTGAGTATGGTCAAGAAATGCGTCTGAAAAACCTGGAGCACCATCGATTTTGCCATAACCATTACTCGAATGTCCGAGAGCAGGGTCGAGGGCAACCACATTGTCGAAAATTACACCTGTTCACGCCCTCCTTTCAGGTTACTGGCTCGTTTTCGCCGACTGCTCTGAATCGTACGAAAAATTCAAATGTTCTCCGCCGAATGGCACCATCACAAAGTCTTTCGGATCATTTTCGATATGCACCTCGCGAACATACCACCTTCCTGCACTCATACACCACAAACAATGCATGCTCCATTCGACGAGGTGGGTGTCATGAGTGTTCTTTCACGTCAGTCGCCGAAAGTCATTTCAGGGTGAGAATCGTTCTCAAGAAAAAGATCGCAAAAATCAGTGTAAGTCTCGATCGAACGCTTGAGGATGGACTGTGAGTCGAATGGTCGTGGTCCGAGGAAGCTGAGACGCTCCCTTCCTACTTGAATCCCAATCGAACTCGCGCACTTCCACCGAAACTGGGTGACTGCGCCCTACTAGATGGGGATTTGTATGCAAAATGTCACTAAAAGCGCCGTTTCGTTCTTATAAAAGCATGGATGACCGCGATTGGCCCATATGTTGTAGTCTTTTGGACGCTGAGTCGACTGGTTTTGGTCCGAAAAGGCTGCGATGCAGCGTTCCTCCTTTATTCCCAATCGAACATGGTTGAACAAGTGGTCACGTGCTCCTGCGTACGCCAGTCAATTGGTCACCGTGCCTGCAGGGTACAACTAAGGCTGTGTTTACATGAAGCGTTTCAACCCGGGTTGAGTTCGACCCGGGTCAGATTTCAACCCGCCATGTCCCAGGTATCTTCGTCTGTCACTCTACCAAAAGCTAAAACTCGTTTCGGTCTCTTTTCAGTTTCTTTCATCGGTTCCGACCGTTGGAATGCACTCCCCGCTGCAGTCCGCTTATGCTCTTCACTGCACCTATTCCGTAATTCAGTACTTTCATTTCTAGGGTACCCTGTAAGAAGGCCTTAGGCCCTCTTCAGACTAGGTACAAAACAGCCTATAAGTCACATTTACATAGAAGTTTCCAGGACAACAACAAGAATCTGGCGGGAAGCCTAAAAAGCTGCCCAATCCTTTCAGGCAGGGTGCCAACCCTTGTACAAGGCAACTTTCCTGCATTTATCGTACTTTCGAATGCTGAGTGTCGGCTGGGTTAACCCTCAACTCTTGTTATATGGCTGTATTGTTTTCGCTATTAGTTAGTTTTCTTTGTTATGATTTCTTTTTTCTTTTTCTTTTTACCAGGCGTGGGCCATCCCCTGAATTCATAGGTGCCAAACATTCTTTTTTCTTTAGTTTTCTTTGTTATGATTTCTTTTTTTCTTTTTCTTTTTACCAGGCGTGGGCCATCCCCTGAATTCATAGGTGCCAAACATTCTTTTTTCTTTCTTTTTCTTTTTACCAGGCGTGGGCCATCCCCTGAATTCTTAGGCCTGTGGGAATGCCCTATTAAAAATTTAATAAATAATAAATAATAATAATAATAGGTGCTAACTCTTTAAAAAAAAAAAAAAAAAAAAAAAAAAATTTATCGTACTTTCACCAGGCAGTTGAACGAACTTTGTACCCGGGTACGACTGTCCGCTGCTTTCCCACATCCCAGGCCCCTTGCGCAATTTCGTAGGGTCAAAGGTTGCCTGTATATTGCATGTAAAATGTGTAGTCTGAATACAGGCATGGAAAAATGTTGCTTTTTAGGTTTTATGTGATTTTGTACTTGATTTTCTATGTACGTAGTCTGATGAGGGCCTAAGGCCTGTGGGGATTGCCCTATCAAAAATTTGATAATAATAATAATAATAATAATGTGCATAAAATGAATGGCGCGTTTACATGACGCATTGCGCTTGACCCGGGTTGAAATTTCGCCCCGGGTTTATTTCAACCCTCCCCCCAAGGGGATAGGAGGGTTGAAATCAACCCGGGTCAAGAAAATCGTACAAACGTACTTCTGTGCGTATCTCGCGCCAGGTTTGAACAGCACTGCAGATGCAAATTTCGCGCGAACGAATTCACGTGACCATACAGGACTGTAGAAGTGGACTTTTGGCGGCATATCAGTATTTGACCCGGGTCAACTGTCTTCATGTAAACGCTCACCTCTTTTGTCTATCGTACAGACTTTCAACCCGGGCTGAACTCGACCCGGGTTGAAATTTCTCATGTAAACACAGCCTAACTTACTAGCCTGTTGAGGTATATTATGCTCGGCAGGCCGCGAAAGAGGGGCCGTTACCTGGACACTTAATCGCGCGGGTAGAGCGAAACTGAGCACCCTGGGATGCGAGCAGCTTTTTAGCTCTCTATATTATCAAGAGTAGATAAACAAGAGTGTGCAACTCGCGGACGGGTTGGCCCACGGCGGAATTTTTTGTTGACGTAATCTTTTCGACGACGCACGCGCTGCGAGCCTTTTGGAGAGTTTTCCCTCGTGCACTTGGCTGGGCTTTACACTACAAGGTCGGTGCCCAGCACGTGCTCTCACACTGCTCTGCGGCAAAGCCGCGTTTCTCTGAAAAAAGGTGACGTAAACAAAAAGCGCGGGGTATCTGCAGATTGTGCAGGAGAGATCCGGAGTTGCACACTCTTGTTTATCTACTCTTGATATTATGTATCAGATTGCAACGACCAGGAGGCTCTTATTAGTGGCTGCAAATGACTGATATCAAGAGTACATAACCCCCCAGAGTGTGCAACTCCCACATACCCTGCTGTCCCGACAGAATTTCAAGTTGACGTCATTATTTATGACGCAATGCTCCTTGCACCAGTGATTTACAACATGTGTACGGGTGTCAACGCATCACACGTTTATCTTTGCAATAATTTGTACAGGATCGATCTGCTTCGGTCAACCACAGGTTCCGGATTCGTCTGATAATCCGTGTACAGTGCGCATTGCATCATCAAAATGACGTCAACTTGAAATTCTGTCGGGACAGCACCCATAGTGGAGTTGCACACTCTGGGGGGTTATGTACTCTTGCTGATATCCGTCACTTGCAGCTCTGCATCAGAGACCTGTTGCTGGCCTGAAGAGTTGTAAAATTACTCCTTCGTAGCCGGGGGAGTCAGAGCGAGGGCGATTCACGGCTTGGTCAAAAAACTGTCGGCCTGGAACGTAAACGTCGATCTGCCGACACAGTTCACTTGGTTCAAACGCCTGACCTGGCATGCTGCCTTGCGTGAAAGGAACATTTTTCCGAAAGCAAGCTTCTTCTCCAAAATTCGAAATTTCTTTCCAAAAATGCCGTCGTCCTTGACCTCGAAGCTGAATGTTGTTAGGATAGAAAATTAGCGAAGATGTAGCCGACCCATTCTGGCAAGCCGTGTGCCCTCTGGATATGCAGTTGTTCGCCATGCTGTTGCGCACAGTCAACAATCTTCTTCTCCTTCGTTCGTACTTTCACTTTCCTGACCACGAATACAAGCGGTACCCATGCTCAGGTTAGTGTTTATTTGTCTGTCTATGCACATACATGTATTACAATGTACTGTTCGTGCTGCAGGCACTGGCCGATCATGGAAATACATGTAGAGGAAGCAGCCAGCTTTCTTTGAATTCTCATCCTTTCAACAAAAATATGTACACACTTTCCTTGGTTCCTTTTTCCCACCGCCACCATGCATGCACTGCTTTTCAAGTTTGTGTTTGCTTTGGCAGTGGTTTCATGGGCATCCTTCAGCCTTCCCTGTCATTCAAAATTCAGAATAGTTTCCACCCAGGTGCTAGTGCCTCTGTTCTCCTTAGCACATTGTAGTAAAATTATTTGCAACTGTCCACCACTGCACTCTTGGCTCACATTCACCACACCATAGCGAGGAAGTTTGTTCTTGGATAGATGTCTGGAGGATGTAGAGCATCTATCCAAGAACGAACTTCCTCGCTATGGTGTGGTAAATGTGGGCCAAGAGCGCAGTGAGGAGAGGTGGACAGTTTCAAATTATTTAGCCCCATCCGATCCTTTCTCCGATAATTATGGACATGTTTTACTATACCGGTATATTGAATGGCCACTCATGCTTCTATTGAGAGGTAACACCACTCAGGAAACTGAGGAAAGCCAGCCGGTGTTGCACAGGATTTGAGGTTGGGAAGAAAAGATGTTCCGATAAAAGAACTGCGAGTACATGGGAAACGTATTATGGAAAGGGCAGTCTGAGTCGAACTAGGATCTCCTGTTCCAGACTGTACCGAAAGCGTGAATATGAATACCGTAAAGTCGCGGATAAAATCCGGGTTTGCATACAAGCACATCGCAGATAGAAGCCTGAAAATCAAACGGGTCGAATGCATATAAGCCCGTCGCGCGTAGAAGCCTTGCTCTATGCAAGCGTGGATCGGGTGGGTCAAGAGTGCATGCACTATGTATGGTGCATAGTAAAACTGCCGCCATACCGGTAGTCAGTGGTAGATCTACGCGTGTCGCACTTAGAAGCCTGGCATACAAGTCTGGCAAAAATATCAGTGGTGCATAATAAGCATGGTTTGCATTAAAACCTGATGGAGAAAGCGGCTTATGTGCTTATAAGCCCGGCTTTTATCCGCGACTTTACGGTACAGTAGAATGCCGATATTCCGAACAATCACTTATTCGAAATGCCAGTTTTCATATTGAGGAGCTAGGGTGTGTCTAGTTCCTGTGAAGAGAATGTGAGAAATGATGGAAACGTGAAGGAATGTGCAAGTCTTAGATGGATGTGTGACTGCTCCGTTATCCGAATTTTTCCCCATCCGAACCCCCTGGAGAAAGCGTGCGCCCGAGGGGTGCGGATAATCTACACTTTGCTGTAACAGTTATGTACAATGCGTGCCGATGCACATTGGACAACGTTGCAAATGTAGAATTGTAGGTGGACTGTGGTTCACATTAGACGATCAGAGTAGCCCCACCAAACGAAGAGAGCTCAACATCACAAGGTAGAGCTTGCATGTACAATCGAAAAAGAGTACATAATTATACCATTAGCTGATGTTGACTTGTTAGTGTGCGTTACGAGGTCTGAAGAAAATGTTGAACGATCTCGGCTGGGATGACGGCTACACCTTAGCTCAGTGATTAGAGCATCGCTGGCCTCAAGCGAAGGTCCCTGGTTCGAATCCTGGTGGTGACAGTCAATTTTTCTTCAGACCTTTCCCGTTTGTGCCTTTCCCTCTAACCAGTGAATATTACTGTTTGCTTCGTACTTTGAGTGATTATCACTTACAGTTACATATACAATGTACTTGATAATTTCTTAGCGCATGAAAATCGGAGTCAGTACCACAATATTCCTCCCTCACTATATGAGTCTAGATACTTTGAATGTGGAACAGGGTCCAGGACAGGATCGTCTGCTCTATCCGAATTATGGCCTGGTTGCAATTTGTCTATTTACCAGCAGGTACATCGCACCAGGGAGTCATAGCACCTACACTGTAGGGAGACTACACAATACTTTATAGAATTTTGGGTCAGGATTTGGAGGTTTTCCGTGATCTGTGCAACCCGCGATCACGGCATTGACCTACTGACCCTGAGAACGGCCCAGGTTAGCAATACCATGTACGAGCGTGTATAGATCTGCCCAATGGTGCCCCAAGGGTGGCTGAAACAGGAACCCCTGGGTTGAACCCCATGTCATTTAGCTTTACAGTCGCCTGTGTCGTCTCCCTAGATGCTACAACTCCCTGCGTTGCACCCAGTAAATGCAGCACATCAAGTATACAGCCATGTAGTGTTGGTTGTCACCTGTTCTGATCGTGTGATATCACTAACAATCTTCTACGGTCCATTCATTTTTAACCTGGCACGTTAGGGGCCGTCCATAATTATCTATCTTTAACAGATTGAGTATCTTTAAAACGAAACGAGAAAAAAATCGTTCATGGGCGGGTGGGTCAAGAAGGGTTTCGTAATGAAAAATATTGATAGCTGAAACACTAGTCCATTCCAGCTATTTTTCGTTGAGGGGTGAGTAGGTGGGGGTGGGGGACGGTCACAAGTTGCTCATAACTAAACTTTTCATTTCGTGAAAATTATCGATAATGCCGGGTCCATAATTGTCGATCTTTTACACGAAGAGAAAAAGTTTCGTTTGTTGGTGGGTCAAGGGGAGTTTCGTTTCGAAAAAATATTGATATTACAGACATCAATCGGGGGGGGGGGGGGGGGTGGAGGAGGGTCCTTCTTTCATTTCGTGAAAATTATGGATAATGCTGGATAGCTCCTTTAAATAGTCTATGCAATAAAATAGTTGTTTTCTTCACACAGTACCGTAAAGTTTAAACAATATCCGGCCATGTTTGTACCGAACATTTTTTCGAAAGGTAATTTCTCAAATGTTGCCTTGAGTACATTCTCAGCAACATAGCGGGCCAGTTTCAAATAATTGGACTGCAAACTTGCATCGCTGGTTGTTGCAGCTCCATGACAGGTCGTATCACGGGAAATTGAGTCCAGCTTGGGTGCAGTAGCATGCATGTACCTGATGATATTGTCGCAATGGATCATAGTGAGGGCGTAGCAGTACTTGTGCACTGATAGTTGGTAATGGCATGAGTACATAACCAAGAGTGGGCAACTCGATGATCCCTCTGCCCACGGCAGAAAGTTTCATCACTTCGGTTTTTGTGGGCCATTGGGCTCATTAATACCATCATGCGTAGCCAGAGATCAAAACTTGTACATCACAGCTACGGCAGTTGAAGCAGAACAATGAACTGTGGATCCATGCCTACTGAACCTGATGAAACACTCTGTCTACATGGCACATGTAGAAATATATGCGCGCTTGCTCATAACCATTGGATTTCGAAGCCGATCGTACCTTATGTTAGTAGTTGCACATTCTTAGCAGTTATGTAGTTTGATAATAACGTTACAATAGATTATTCATACTGGTGGAAACGTTATGCTGGTTGCATATTTGGTACCCGGTGTGCCATGACCAGGCATGCTAATTCATCGGATATTAGCAAGTTTGCCTGCCTGCTGGGTGTTGTATCTTAGCTTCACTGTACTACAAATACGATAGGCTTAGTTTTCCTAAATTGCTTCTTTATAACATCCAGTTTGTTTTGCTGCAATCTTTTCATGTGTTTTGCAGGATTGTAGCCAAGGGTGAATACCATTATCATGAGCGAAGGTCTCTGAGAACTCATGTCTGAAGGCTGGTCATGTTGGCCCAACGATGACTTTCATTGCCTGTATCCGCCACCTTCATACTGGAATGAACTGGAACATGTTCACTCTCTGTTTCTCATGTGGAAGGACGGAACAGATTGTTTGTCTGTCTCTGTGGATCACCGAAGGCTGAACAGTACAGTTGGAAGAATGTTGGAAGAATATTGGATCTCACGAAGTGACTGAATCTGAAGCGGCTGACATGCATCTGCACAGCGCTTTCTTTCTGAGATTTGCTTCAAGGCAGGTTATTGTGTACAATTTTGTCCACAGTATTCCTATATTTGCCAAACGTATTTCTCTGATAGTATTGTGACTACACACGCGCAATGATCTCTCCGTCATCAGTCTTTCGCAATGATGTGGCTCACTGACGACAGCATGCATAGCCATAGATCAAATGAGCAGCTAAGGTAGTTGAAGCAGAAGAATGGATCAATGCATCCTGAACCTGGTGTACTGCCTTTATGCACCCTCAGTAGTATTTGTAACGTGTTAACTATGAAGTATCAACATTGCTTCTCTTCTATGTGGGTGGTGTGAGTGAATGTCAGATGGTCTGTACTGCCATGGCCGATGGTGTTCACTGGAAGATGTTGGGTTGGACCATTGTGCCCTCTTGCAATATGCTGTTGCAGCCTGAAGGCAATGAAAAAGTTCGAATGCTGATCTGCTTTCAAGCGTAGAATGTTACATTATGTGCATTACATATTTTCATAATTATGTTTTGTACTGGAGTGTGAATGTGCGGCAAGTGCATGCACATGTAAGTATATCGCACTGCAAACAGCCTAAGAGTTCACATGGTGTGTGATAAGTACACTTTTGGAAAGTGCGTGCAAAGTCGAATCATGTAATGTTAAAACAGCCTTCGTGCTCCTCCCTGAATGGCTGCACAAGTAGAAATCTCCATCTTCCTTTGCTTCTTTTTGCTTGAGCTGGCATGGTGGTCGTAGAGTTGGAAATTGTCAAGTATGATAACAATCATTGTTTGGTCTGGAGACAAGAATGCATTTGGATAATTGTCCCAGGACTGCATGGCTTCCCAAACTGCATGTTGAATGCCATAGATGATTATTGTTCGGTTCAAGAAAGGACTCGTGGGTCTGTCTGGCTATTGTGAGCTCTCGCTAGTCCATTTCCATAGCACTTGCTCTGGATTCACTCGCTGGAATATTCTCCAGTATAGAACAAGAAGTTTAAAAAACCTACTGGTGATATTAGTATGTTATACTAGTTTCTCCGCACTGTACCGCAGCTTTTGTTATCACACACATGCGGGTTATATAGTTTATCTACAATCCAGCATGATGTTCTTCCAAGAACGCCCCCGACCTAGGCCGTCGGAACGACGTTCTTTGGTGTGCAACATCACTTATAGTTCTAAATCTTAGAATTACCGGTAAGCGCAGGATTTTAGTGATCACGGTTCCAAATGCATGTCATTGCACTCCACCTTTGGGACTTATTAAACATGTCATTGCACTCCACCTTTGGGATTTATAAAGAGCTGCATGCATGCCAAAGCTTGTCATAAAAGAAGAGCAGACTTAAATAGGCATCTTGCATGCATGATTTCTAACATGTAACATCCCTGCCGAAGAGCGTTCTTCCATACTACAGTAGAGTCGAGCGTCCAAGAACGTTGTGTCCAAGAGGTTAGCCTGGGGTGCTCTTATTTTTCAGCCATCCGGCTGCGCTCTTATAGCATGTTCTTAGAAAGTTATATATAGAAACAATCATGTTAGTAGGCGTCGAGGCGACAATAGTTTTAGAATTGCGATCAACAGAACGAGCTGAACCGACATTTCACAAAGGCTTTTATTGTTTTCAAAAAACGAGTGGATACGAAGGCAGTGAAGAACGTGGAAGAAAGAAAAAATGTGACATGGAAAAAAATGATGAACAAAAAATTTGTACTTCGAACTAGTTTTCGCACAACACTCCTCAGGAAGCTACGTTGTACTAATGAAAAACAATCCAGAAAGATACTAATAAAGAGAAATGGAGTGAGAAGAAACAACACCTATGAAAATGATAATCCACAAGCGCGGTGATAGGTCAGTCTCCTCCAACTACAGACCAATATCACTGCTCCCCCATATGTCAAAGTTACTTGAGCACATAGTGCATGATCAACTCATACGCTACATCCAGAATGCACCACCCGCACTGCAACATCTCCCTGCAGAGCAATTCGCCTACCGCAGAGGCCACTCCTGCGAAGACTTGCTGACTTGTGTTACCAACGATTGGATGCTTGCCTTGGACAAGGGTGACTACGTAGTGGCTGCCTTCCTTGATATGTCAAAGGCCTTTGACACTGTCAACCACAACATGTTACTTCAAGAACTACTTGAGATTGGTATTGGCGGAGTCGCTCTGCAATGGTTTCACAGCTACCTTACAAACAGACAACAGTGCGTGGTCACTAAGACTCAACAAGGGCAACCATACACAAGCAACAGAGGCGTTCCACAAGGCTCTGTTTTAGGGCCGTTTCTATTTAACTTGTCCGTGAGGAAACTCCCCGCTGTGCCCAAACACTGCAAAGCCCGTCAATACGCAGATGATGTGTCTTTATACAGGGCGGGGAAGAATGTCCAGAACTTATGCAAAGACCTCACAGAGGACATCATCAAAGTAAAGGAATTCTTGGCAACGAGAGGTCTTATGTTGAACTCCTCGAAAACCCAGCTTGTTGTGTTCAGGCCAAAGTCGAAACCTCTTGACCCCGATGTCAACGTTCAGATTGAAGATGTCACCATCACCCCTAATGCACACGTGAAATACCTCGGTATAGTTCTTGACGAACATCTCTCCTTTGGAGTTCACATTGCACAATTAGAACGTAAAATAGGCTGTAAGTTAGGAATGTTTAGAAAGGTCCGAGACCATTTAACGATCGATGCTAAGAGGGCTTTCTACATCTGTTCCATTCAGTCCATACTTGAGTATGGGTCTAATTCCTTTGCTCACTGCCTTTCTGCCTCCCTCCATGACCGTGTTGTCCGACTTAGTAATAGAGCGCTGCGTATTGTATTTTGCATGCCCCGCCTATCTGATGTCTCCCTTGTTCTTGCCCGCTACCATATCATTCCCTTGTCTGTCAGGTACCAATTCAAGCTGTACGTTCTAACGTACCGTGCGCTTCATGATCTGGCTAGTGTCTTTGTTGCTAACTGTTTCTGTCTCCGCTCTAATTCTACCTGCACTAGTTCTCGCACCCGCTCTCAAGTGTCCTCTTCCCTTGCTCTTCCGACAGCCAAACGTCGCTATGGTTTATTTTCTGTCACTTTCCTTGGCTCTGACCGCTGGAATGCCCTCCCAGCGGAGGTCCGCTCAAGTTCTTCCTTGCATACCTTCCGTAATTCTGTTCTTCATTTTTTAGGGTACCCTGTCAAAAGGCCTTAGGCCTGTGGGGATTGCCCTATCAAAAATTTAATAATAATAATAATAATAATCCTAGCACTAAGGTAATAACAGGAAAAACTGCGAAAGCAATTAACCATGGAAGGGCAAGAAGTCTGACAATGTGAGTCGTGAAGTTCGTGCGATCATCAAACAAACCGACTATGCGGTACACTTCATACCCGTGTACACAACGATGCGTTCGTTCACGGTGTTGAAGGACGTCCTACCAACCCATCATTTAAGTCATGTAATCTACAACTTTGAATGCCGGAATTGTGCTAGCCGGTATGTTGGTAGGACTGTTCAGCACCTGAGCGAACGCATCAAGCAACACACTCCTTTACACATTATCCCACGTAGCGCACAACTGGAGCGTCCCACGCGGGGAAGACCCCGTAAACAACCACTACCTCCGCCAACACAGGACCTAGCGTCCCACTCGGCAAGTCCACCATTGGCTCCCGTGGCCATGACCAAGTCACTCCCTCCACCAGCGGAGGTGGATGTGGCTTCGGCGACGCCACGTGTGTTGCATGCAGACACGTTTGCATCAGCATCGCTTGCTGCATCACCGGCAGAGACGACAAAAATACCTACCTCAATATCAACGAGACCCAGAAGAACAACTGCTAATTACACCATGACCTATTTCAGTACGGAAGTACCGAGCCAACGTAATACACAACAGGAACGTGAGACGAGGGATGGGAGGAGACGGGACCTGATTGCTCCGAGGCAGGACGTCGTTGAGGAGGATTCGGCCAGTGAGTCCAGTGATTCCGGTGAGTGTGAGAGCGAGAATGATTGTGTGAGTAAGAGTGGGTGCGAGCGTGTGTTTTCTAGTAGGAAGTCATCAGTGTATAAGCATCTTGCATCTCGTCCTGATTGTTGCAAGGTGTATTCTGATTCTTCTTTTTCTGTTTTGTGCCGTGCTCGTCATGGTTATAAGTTGCAGTTGAGTGTGTTAGAAGCTGTTTGTCAACGTATTCATAAGCCTGATCTGTGTGTCCAGAAGGACAGCATTATTCATTTGAAATTGTTTTAGTGGCAGCTTGTTCTGTCGGTTTGGCTCTGGTTGGCCATGGTGTCATATCTTGTGTCACAGTATACTAGTAGTCCTTATAAGTTCGTTAATTGCTTTCGCAGTTTTTCCTGTTATTACCTTAGTGCTAGGATTATCATTTTCATAGGTGTTGTTTCTTCTCACTCCATTTCTCTTTATTAGTATCTTTCTGGATTGTTTTTCATTAGTACAACGTAGCTTCCTGAGGAGTGTTGTGCGAAAACTAGTTCGAAGTACAAATTTTTTGTTCATCATTTTTTTCCATATCACATTTTTTCTTTCTTCCACGTTCTTCACTGCCTTCGTATCCACTCGTTTTTGAAAACAATAAAAGCCTTTGTGAAATGTCGGTTCAGCTCGTTCTGTTGATCGCAATTCTAAAATCATGTTAGGATCATAATTATGTATCCCGAAAGCTACCGGAAAACCAACACCGCCATTCTTTTAAACTTAAGGCGGTGGTGTTCTTAGTATTTCAGGCTGGACATTCTTGGGCAACACGTTCTTCGGCGCCTGACTCTACTGTAGTACTGTACATGAAATACAGCTGCTACAACTGTAGTAATATAGAATGCTGATTATCCGAATGATTGATTGTCCGAACTGCTCAGGCTGCATGGCAGCAGGCTGTCATCAACATGCATCCCATGATAATTTCGAGGAGCTGGAGTGTGTGCCAAAAAGAATGAGAAATGAAAGTATGCATGAGGAAATGAGTATGTTTTAGATGAGTGTTTTCCCACGCCCTTATCCGAACATACATGCACTCGATCGCCATAACCCCTGGCACACAGCACACAGCTTCAGAACCTGAGAGAGTATGATATGGGTATGTCACAAGTACTCCCAGGTCCCGAAGCTTTCGTCTCAACAAAGGATCATAATCGACGACTTGTAATGAACTACATTTTGGTGGTATTATACCGTACTTGTTTACGAATGAGTTTAAAGCATGAGAACTATCCACAGCAGACATTCTCACTGTTCGGAGTTGCCAAAAAAGTGGTCCATGTACAAATCAGGGATGGGTACAATACA